GAGGAACTCTGGCTGTCAGTTCTCATCTCTGTTGATGATCAGAGGAATTCACTCATTCTGCAAATATTTTCTGAGCCCTGCCTCTCTGCAAGAGGCCCAGGCTACACTGGCCAAGCTAGAACAAGCACTGACTGTTTTCTCTGAGATGTAGCTTTCAGATTACTCTATTAAAAGACACTAATGAGTCTGTTCAGAATTAATGTTTGGGTTACTATTGGGCTAGCGCTGATTCAAGGGGTGAGGGGTGAACGATAGTGAGCAGGAGTTTTGGGTTTTTTTTTTCCTTGTCTATACTGTGCTGGATTTATTGCTGATCATTACAGTGGCTTCACCCTTTCCCAAAGGAGCAGTCACTACAGTGTGCCACACGCTCCAGGAGTTTTGGGACAGAAGGAAGGTTGCAAACCACGGGGCCACTGAGCTTTAACTCTGGGAACAGAGCCCGGGAGCAACAACGCAGCCCCAAACAGAGGAAAGGGCTCTAGACCAAGAGCCAGGAGAGTTGAACTTTGGTGCTTCCAACCAGCTGTGTGACCCCGGGGAGGAGACTACACTCTCTGGGTCTCAGGCTCCTTACCTCTAAAATAAGGGAGTGGAGGAGCTGGCTCTGTGGTGCAGCGATAATGAACTACGGAAGGGAGGCTGGATCCCACGTAGTGACCATGGTTCGAATCCCTGGCCCTGTCAGCCTAAACATGCAGAGTATGTGTGTGTTCAAGATTCAATGGGCTGGGGACCAGCAGATGGCCTAATGGTTACAGCACTGGACTTCCAAGTAGTCGGCCACAGTTCGAGTCCCAGACCTGGTGGCTTAAAACATCAGGCATGTGTGCGTGTGTGCCAAAAATCCTAAGAGGAGGATGGAGGAGAAGGGATTGCAGCATGGCAATCCCTCCTGGGAAATGATTTCTCACTTCCTGTCTCTGTGGTGTGCATATGCCCTGTAGCAAAAATCTTTCTTGAAAAATAAATAAATAAAAATAAAGAAAGGTTCAATGGCTGGAGGATTGCAGGAGGGGACAGCGGCTGACCAGATGCCATCAGCCTCAGATTGCCTCTCTCCCCCTCATGCATGTGTGCGTGCTCTGTAATGAACAGAGTTTATTTGTAAGAGAGAATACAATAGACTCATGTCATAGTCCAGATCTTCTTTTTAGAAAGTAATAAAATGAGGGAATGAGATTAGACGGTTTTTAGAGTGATTCGTTGTAAATATTCATGAGTCGCTTAAGAAAGAGGCAATGGACCAAAACGAAACCTCGGGGTTCATTTTTCCTGTGGTGCTCCTCCCCTTCAGGTCGGGGAGAGGCAGAGGGGCTCCTTTTGTTGGGTTAACAGGCACTATTTGCCATAAAAAGTGTTTGTAGTGACCTTCTTCATGAAACTGACAGAAGTGGCAGATGGTGTGGTGACTGAGGCGCTGGACTCCCACATGACTATCTGTGGTTCGAATCCTGGACCTGATGGCCTGAAAATCATGCTGGATGTATGTGTGTGCTCGCCCCAAGTCCTGAGAGAAGACTGGAGGAGAAGGGATTGTGGCATGGTCACTGCTCTGGCAAGTGCTTTCTCACTTTCCCTCTCTGTGTTTCTCTCAGTCTCTCTCTGGCGAGCACACACACCACATGGGAAAAACCTTAAGTAAAAAAAAAAAAAAAAAGAGAACTTGACAGAAGAAAAGAAGCTTCTTTTCTTTTTTTAAATGATAGTGCGTACATATGAGAGAGAGAGAGAGAGAGAGAGAGAGAGAGAGAAGCGTGTCCGACAGGCTCTCCTCATGCCAGTCGCCTTCCCCAGCTCTCCAGCTTCTCAGGAGCCCAGTGTCCATGCATAGGCACCTGACATGCTTCAAGCCAGTCCCAGGATTGGAACCCACAATTGCCCACATCGCTTACAACTTTCAGGTCCCATGCTACTGCTGCACCACAGTGACTGGGCCAGAAAAGAAGCTGTGGGGAACCAGCAGTTAGCGCAATGGCTATGTCACTAGACTCCCATGTAGTTGACTGCAGTTCGCATCCCAGACCCGGTGGCTTAAACTCATGCCGGGCACGTGTGCGTGCGTGCCCAAGATCCTGAGAGGAGAATGGAGGAGAAGGGATTGTGGCGTGGCCATCCCCCCTGGGGGGTGATTTCTCACTTTCTGTCTCTATGTCTCTCTCTGTCTGGCGAGCGCACGCGCCCTATAGCAAAAGCCTCTCCAAAAAGAAAAGAAAAGAAAAGAAGCTGTGGAAATGGCGGAGGGGCAGAGAAGTGGGGAAGTAAAAGATGTTTTCTGGCCTGGCAGACGTTTGGGAGATCCAGGAGTCTGAGACCCTGCTGGGAGGTTCCTATCGGTGCTGGAAAGGCTGGGGCTGAGAGCACGGGAGAGGGACAGGAAGGCGCCCCTATTTCTCTTTTGGTCACTTTTATAACTGTCATGATTCTTCACCCTGGCTGCAGGTTAGAGGCATCCAGACAGCTTTCAAAAAAATCGCAAAGTCTCTCCATCCTTCTGACTTAGGCGATCTAGAATAGAACTTGGGCATGGGCGTTTCTTGTTTCTTGTGTTTTTTGTTTGTTTGTTTTTTGAGAGGTTTTGCTATGGGGTGCATGCACTCGCCAGACAGAGACAGAGAGACAGAAAGCGAGAAATCACCCCCTAGAGGGGAAGGTCACGCTGCAATCCCTTCTCCTCCATTCTCCTCTCAGGATCTTGGGCACGCACGCACACGTGCCCGGCATGAGTTTAAGCCACCGGGTCCGGGACGCAAACCGCGGTCGACTACATGGGAGTCCAGCGACATACCCATTATGCCAATTGCTGGTCCCTGGGCATGGGCATTTCTGAAAGTGCTCGGAAGGAATCCTGCTCTGCACTCAGGGTTAAGGACCGTGACAAGGTATCCAAGTACGAAGCAGCCTTCTTGCTTTTTCTCAAGTATCTATTGTGTCCTCCCCACTCCTCCTGTCTCTCTTCTCTTTTCATTCTCTGCCTGAAAATTCCTATGTTATGAATGAAGAGGAGATGGAGAAGGGAAGAATAAACCTTTTTTAGTCTACTGTCAGTTTAAGTCCTTTTTATTGAGGAGGTTTAATAAAAGTTTTTTCATGTAATTCATATTACTTAATAGAAACTTGAAAAATACTAAAATAAATAAGTAAATAAAAACATCTCGGGACTAGCAGGTGGTGTGGAGGTTAAGGTGTTGGATCCAACATGGCTGACTGTGTGGTTTGAGTCCTAGACTGTGGCTTGAGAACACACCAAGTGCGTGTGTGTGTATGCCCAAAATCCTGATAGGAGAATGGAGAATGGAGGAGAAGGGATTTTGATGTGGCCAGCCACCATGTGAGTCATTTCTGACTTTCCCTCTCTGTGTTTCTCTCTGGTGAGCACATGTGCCCTATAGCAAACTTAAAAAAAAAAAAAAAAACACATAAAAACTTGAACCAGCCCAAGCAAGGTGGCCAGCCTCAGCATGGTGGCTGAGGCTGCTAGATCCCACATGGGTGACTGTACAGTTCGAGTCCAGGACATGGTGGCTTGAAGAACACACACCAGGTACATGTGTGTGCACCCAAAATCCTGAGAGAAGAATGGAGGAGAAGGGAGTCAGCATAACCATTCCCCAGGAGGTGTTTTCTTTTTTCTCTACCTCTCTTTCTCTCTCTCTCTTACTCACTATCTTCCACTGGAGAGCTCTCCGGCAAATTAAAAAAAAGAAAAGCTCGAAGTGTCGGAGAGGCCCACGGCTCAGACACTGCTGTTGCTAACACTGTGAACACTGTAGTCCTGCCTCCCATTCTGTCTCGGTACAGTTTCTGCGTGGAATGCTTCCCCAGTTGTCTGTATTAGGAGTTGGGGAACTGTGCTCTGTAGGCCAAATCCAGCCCACTGCCTGTTTCTGCAAATAAAGCTTTATTGGAACGCGGCCATGCTCGTCGTCGCCTGCTGTCTGCGGCTGCTCTTCAAGACTGAGACCTTGCCCTGCACAGAACGGGTCCGTGGGCACCAGCGTATACGATTGCACACTCTTGCCCTGCACTGTACTTACAGCACGAGCATTTCCCCATGTTATGAGTGCTTCATTCATCCTTTCTAATCGCTCTCTTACTTCATCACGTACTGCAGTTAGGTGGTAGCCTAGTCTTTCTCCTGGGGTAAACATTTATATGTTATTTATTTACTGATTTATTTATTTTAATGTATTCATTCATTTATTTTAATTTGACCAGAGAGAGAGAGAGAGAGAGAGAGAGAGAGAGAGAGGAAAAGAAAGTGGGAAAGCAAGCCACCAGGTCCAGGACTTGAACCATGGTCGGCCATGTGGGAGTGTCCAGCACCTTAACCACCACGCCACCTGCTGGTCTATTTATTTATTTATTTATTTATTTATTTATTTATTTATGTTTAGAGATTTTTGCTATAGGGCGTGTATACTCACTGGAGAGGCAGAGAGAGACTGAAAGTAAGAAGTCACACCCCCTTGAGGGGATGACCACATCACAATCCCTTCTCCTCTGTTTTCCTCTTGAGATTTTGGGCACACACACACACACACATGTGCCTGGCATGAGTTTAAAGGTGCTTGGTGTGGGACTCGGACCGCAGTTGGCGACGTGGGAGTCCAGTGATGTAACTGTTGAGCCCTCTGCTGGTTCCACACTGGTATATTGTTCCCAATTTTCTCACTTCTCTAAAGCTCCGGGTCTAGATCGTCCACCTGGTAGGTAGGGGCTTCTGAACACTCTCGATACATATTGCCACACCCTCTGTTCAAAGGTGGTGCACAACACCATAACACCATAGAAACTGTTCTCTGCATACCTGCCAGGGTTGAGCATTACCATTTAAACACTTAATGCTTTCAGATAGGTAAACAGCACACAATGCTTTAAATTAGCGTCTAACGAGGTCGCGCTTGTTACTACACAAGTTCTGCTGCTTTTTGAGCACTAGCCCTCTTTGCTTGGCCTTCTGCGTAGTGCAGGGTGGAGGGGATGGCCCTGCCGCTCACCTTGGCTTGGAGCAGGGCTCCCGCCTCCAGCCGCTTCTTTTCCACGTCTCTCTCCCACTGGATTCTGATGGTCTCAAGGATGTCGTCCAGCCCGGTGCCGATGGGAACGTCCATCTGCTCCAGCTCAGAACCTGCCAGCTGCTTGTACAGCACCTTCACATCCTGAAAACGACAGAGAGGCCACGCTTTTGCTGCTGCTGCTGCCGCCACACGTGGGCTTCACAGAGGCTGGCCAAGTCCCGGATAACCCTCTTCCCACCATGGGCACGTTCTCCATGCCCAACGATTCATTTCCTAGGTGGATCGCCACAGGCTCAGGCATGAAGCAAAAGTGAAAATAAACAAAGAGCTAAATAAATAAAAGCAAAAACAAAACAAGCAATGATGGCAGAATGGATGTAGGCGTGGTCAGACTAGGCTGAGACGTAACGGTCACCTGGGAGTCTCTAGAGGGTTGGAGCGAGGGCTTAAGCGACTGAGCCAAGAGCAGAGAGAAAGGGGATTTGGTTGCTGGGGCTCAAGGTCAGATGCAAGGAGGCACTTCCCAATGTGAGCATTGGCTCTTGCAGCTGGAAGCCCTGAGAGCCTGCATCCGACTGCAGCAGGTGTGAGGGGTTCAGAGTGAGTGCAGTCCTGTGCAAACTAGGCCACACAGCCATGGGTGTCCTCTTCGACCTTGTCCCTCAGCCCTCTCCCTGACTTTCATTAAGCAGCGTGTCTGAACCACAGCCTGCATCTGCCCTAGAGTTATTTGTTCGATACAGGATCCAGAAAATACCTGAAATAGGATGCTTGGGGGGGGATTGCTGCCTTTTCCACCCCAGCACAGGCTCCGTCACTCTCGACTCTCGAGTGCTGGGGCTGCTGCTGTAGGCCACTGAGCCTGGCTGCCAGCATGGCCAGTCCACCACAAGGGTCCCACAGTACTTTAGAGACATCTTCCCTCCCCTGCGCAAGCCACGCAGAGAGGCCCAGATGCGCTGCCAGGCCCTCTGAGGGTTAGCCCACCGACGACACCGGCCCGGCCACCCAGCCCCGATACCTCTTCGTAGTTTCTCGACAGAAAGCTGAGCTCTTCTTTCAGACTTTCTATTTGACTCTCCAGATCCGTTTTCGTCAAATTAGCTTCATCGATGACTTTATACAGAGAGTTAATCTCCTCTTCTGCTGCCTTTCGAAATGGCTGCTCGTTTTCGTATCTGCAGATAAAGGAACTTAGTCAGCACAGCCGGGAACCCAAAGACAACAAATCAGATCATGAATGTCACCACCAGGCCACTTCCGTGACAGCTGGACAATGAGTGTTAAAGTCACCACCGGATAGTTTGGAGGGCACTGTGAAAGCACTTGGCCGCAGGCTGACTTATTAAAATGAAAATGATTGTAGCCCACTTGTGGTCATCAGGCTTCCTGGGTGCCAGCCCCGTGGGGGATTTAGAAGCACAGAGCTCAAGGGAAACTCCTTCAGGAGTTCAGATCCAGATAAGGGTATCCAGCATCGTCCCCACTCTCCTGGCCTGTCCTTTCACCTGATGTTCCTTTAACAACAATTTCGGAGAACCTGGTACGTATCACGTGGATCCCAAAATGGGGAATGCAGTTTCTGTCTCTGAGGAGCCCACGTGAAATTCCAGGGCTGTGGCTGTAACCCCAAAGCCTCAGGGACCATGTGGAGAATAGAAATACAGAGGGAGGAGTTCAGGTCTGGGCCACAGGGAGAGTGGGGACTGCAGGACCCAGGAGATCTCAGGCTTTACCTGAAGGGGGCGCTGCTGCTCAGCTCCTCCCCAGTACTGCCCTGCGGGAGCTTGGTGCAGAGGGCATTCTCTTCAAGAGAAATGGGAAGCCCGAATTTGTATGTGAAATACCCAGAGTTAGGGACCAGCAGTTAGCATAATGGCCATGTCGCTGGACTCCCATGTAGTCGACCGCAGTTTGAGTCCCGGACCCAGTGGCTTAAACTCACGCCGGGTGCGCGTGCGTGCGTGCCCAAGATCCCGAGAGGAGAATGGAGGAGAAGGGATTGTGGCATGGCCATCCCCCTGGGGAGTGATTTCTCTCTTTCTATCTCTCTGCCTCTCTCTGTCTCTCTGGTGAGTACACAAGCCCAATATCGAAAACCTCTCCAAAAAAAGAAAAAAAAATATCCAGAGTTTAAAAAGTTTACAACTTGTGCAATAACATGTGTGTGTGTGTGTGTGTGTGTACAAACATCGGAAACTGCTCCCTCTGGGTTATTGCCATCCTAGTTTACAAAAGTCTCTGGTTTCGGGAACGAGAAGTTAGCGTAATGGCTATGTCGCTAGACTCCACGTAGTCGACCACAGTTCGCATCCCGGACCCGGTGGCTTAAAACTCACGCCAGGTGCGTGTGCGTGCGTGCCCAAGATCCCGAGAGGAGAATGGAGGAGAAGGGATTGCGGTGTGACGATCTCCCCTGGGGGGTGATTTCTCGCTTTCTGTTTCTCTGTCTCTGTCTGTCTGGCGAGCGCACGCGCCTTATAGCGAAAACCTCTCTCAAAAAAAAAAAAAAAAGTCTCTGGTTTCCACAGGACCTTCCTTCTAAAGCCACTCAACATCTCCGCCAGTTCCCCCCTGTCCCACTCCTTTTGTTGCAGGCCTGTACTGCGCGGCCAGGCTCCACACCGTACCTCCATGCTCCCATGCTAGGGAGAAATCTCACACTTTTCACTCTGGAAAGCATTGAGTCTTAGAGTCTTAAGGGATTTTAAAGTTCAACTATTCAAAATCTGACCTAGTGACAAACCCTAGCATCTTTATTTTGTTTTGTTTTGTTTTGATTTTTTTGCTGGAGAGAGAGAAAAAGTGAGAAATTACCCCCCCCCACACACACACACACCACCCAGAGGTGAGGGCCATGCTGCAATCCCTTCATCTCCATTCTTCTCTTGGCATTTTGGGCATGTACACACATACACCTAGCATATTTTCTTTCTTTTTCTTTTTTTTTGGAGAGATTTTTGCTATAGGGCGCATGCACTCACCAGACAGACAGAGAGAGACATAGAGACAGAAAGCGAGAAATCACCCCCCAGGGGGGATGGTCACGCCTCAATCCCTTCTCCTCCATTCTCCTCTTGGGATCATGGGCACACACGCACACGCGCCCGGTGTGAGTTTTAAACCACTGGGTCCAGGACGCAAACCATGGTTGACTACGTGGGAGACCAGCGACATAGCCATTACGCTAACTGCCGGTTCCCCACCTGGCATATTTTCAAGCCACCGGATCTGGGACTCCAATCACAACCACCATGGCACTTGCTGGCCCCCCACCCCCACGTTCTTGACAGGTGGTCATCTTATAGTCCCTGTTCAAATATTTTCAATGATGGTGGCCTCATTACCTCTCAAAATCACCATTATTTAGTTATTTATTTTGTCATAGGGTGCATGCACTTGCAGGGGAAGAGAGGGAGAGAGAAGTCACTCCTTGGGGGGTTGGCCATGCCCCAATCCTCCTTCTGCATTCTCCTCTTGATACTTTGGGCAGACATACATATGTGCCCAATGTGATTTTCAAGTTGCCGGGTCTGGGACTTGAGCCATGGTCATGTGGAAGTCCAGTGCCTTAACCACCACAGTACCTGCTGGCCCCCACCATTACATTTTGATAGCTCTAATTATTGCAAATTTCTTCCTTCAAGAGCTTAAGTCTCCATTCCTATAAAAATCTGAGTTCTGTTCTCTGGAACACCCCAAATCATTTGAATTTTTTCTTCTGGAAATCTCACAAATACTTAGAGATTGTCCCATATGTCCCTACTCCTCCACTACCTCCATCCTCTAAGCCTTTTCTTTCTCAGGTCAGACTTCCTTCCTCCACTTCCACATAAATTGGTTTCCATATCTCTTGTTGTCAAAGGCAGAGACAGCCTCTCATCACTGCATTCCCAGTACCCAGCTCCAGGTTCACGGTGTGCTTGTGGAGTAATCAGGGCCTCAGTCGATCTGCATCTGCCTTAAAATGTGAGGAGCTGGGACCAGCAGTTAGCGTAATGGCTATGTCACTGGACTCCCATGTAGTCGACCGCGGTTCGCGTCCCGGACCCGGTGGCTTAAAACTCACGCCAGGCGCGTGTGCATGCGTGCCCAAGATCCCGAGAGGAGAATGGAGGCGAAGGGATGGCGGCGTGGCCATCCCCCCGGGGGGTGATTTCTTGCTTTCTGTCTCTCTGTCTCTCTCTGTCTGGTGAGTGCATGCGCCCTATAGCAAAAACCTCTCAAAAAAAAAAAAAAAAAAAGTGAGGAGCTGAATGTCATTTCCAGAATTTAAACAGGAAGGTCGGACCGTAGCAGGAGATCAAGTCCGGAGACTGGCCTGGTGAAATAGAATCTTATGACCTTTGACTCAAACAGCACTGATCTTCTGCGCTTTGTTTTCCAGAGTTAAGGATTCTTGTCTTCTCTCGAGTTGTGGACAGGTCCATGTGCCTACTACTCAAACAGAATCCTATCCCGTTGCCTGGCTTTAAGTCTTAAGCAAAGTTTTCTTACCATTTTTTGATTTTGATTTATTAAAGCTAAAACTCCCTTTCTTGAAATTAAAAATATATATATATTTAAAAAAAATCCCTATTTAAGGACCACAGAAAGCTATGTAGGCTCATTCATTCTCCTCACAGTTTCATGCCCTAAGTCAGACATGTGTTCACAGATCTGTATGTATCCGCTGAACTTGCTGTTGAAAGTAGTTAGATTCAGTAAGACATTTTGTGAATCAATAAAATGTGGGGACAATAAAAAGGAATGGAAAGCAACTGCAGATATCAGAGACAGTGTGGGAGGAGGGTGGGACATGGCAGAAGGTGAGAAGTAGGGGGTTATATATATATATATACACACACACATAAGAAACGACTACGTGTGAGTAAGCCACTGCACAGCGTGTTCTGGGCGGGAAATCACACTTTGTATGTGGGGATGATACCCAGGGAATGAATGTAAAAGAAATTTAAAAAAAAGAAAAAGAGCTGACTTCAAAAGTCCGGATGTTGCCTGAGCAGTGCAGAGTCCTGTGGACTATCCACTTCCGTGTTTAAACCCTTTAATTTTGCTCATTGTGGACTCTAAGACTGGCTTTGTGGGGTTTGTGTGTGTGTTTGTTCATTTTATTTTCACAGCTGTCTCCGTCACTGACAGCAGCAGAAGCCCTGGGCATTGTCACAGCGACGCCCTGCAGCCCAGGTTTCGCACCCTCTCTAGGTGCAGCGGGTGTTCGAACTTGAAAGTGGGAGTGAAGACTTGCCCTCTTTCATCAGCAGCCCGTTGTTTTCATGTGTTGGGATTCTTTTTTAAGAGTTTGTGTATTTATTTCTTCCATGAGTGAAACAACTCTTGGTGCGCAACCTACCCCAGCCCAGATCACGGCACGTCCGTGCCCAGCACACTCAGGGAGGTCTCCGGAATCAAGTCTGGAACCCTCCCAGGTGGCATTGGCCCACAGAGCATCGCAGTTCACTGCTGTCACTGTCTGGCCCAGGATTTTTTCTAGATATTTTAAATTATTTATCTATTTATTTATTTTGCTAGAAGGCTGTTGCAGGGAGAGAGAAAGGAAAGAGACAGAGAGAGAGAGGACAAGAAAACATCTTTCCCCCACCCCATAGGACATGGTCATGGCGTGCTTCCTTCTCCGTTTCTCTCTGCTTCTGGGAGTTGGGGCCTGGTCACAGACACGCCCAGTGTGTTTCTCGAGCTGCTGGGTGTGGGGCTCGAACTGGGTGGTCAGCTAGCTGCCTTACCCGCCAGGCCATGGACTGGCCTAGGATAATCTTTAATCCTGATCCTGTCATTCTTCTCTTCATTGTTCTTCCTGGCTTTGCGTCATCTGACGTTGGTCCACTTGTTTTCATGCATCTGCAGTTAAATGTAGTTCAATGCAGGGACCAAGGGGCAGAGCCCTGTGCCATGCCGTCAGAGGCTCTCAGAGTTGGACCTGTTCCTTTGAATCAGCCCTTAGAAGACCATGCGCCAACGCAATTTTGTGTAAGATCAGATTTTCTACTCCAATCTATTCTTTATGTAGGATTGTATTTTTATTAATATTTTAGGTCATTGGGACAAACATCCTGTCCCTCCAGCTAGAATAAAAACCCACCCACACCATTGGGTTCAATCCTCACTCGCAAGCTGGAAGTCTCCCGTGTTTCTGCAGAGCCCAGCTTTGCTCACCTCTCCAGGGATCCTGTTCTCGTCTGGGTTATGCTCCCTTCAACATTGCGTTTGCTACAGACTGTGTGTGTGGGTATGTGTGTATCAGTGTGTGTGTATGTGTGTGTGTGTGTGTGTGCATGCGTGTGTGCTTTAATTGCTAGAGGGCACACGTATGAGAGAGGGAGAGAGGTCCCAAATGGGGCCTGGTCATGCCACAATTTCCTTTCCTTCATTTCTCCACCCTAAATGCCATCACCGTCTCCTCCAAGACTTCCAACCCCATGCCTCTCCTCTTGCCTTCACCAATTCCCGGAGACGGTGCCTTGCGTAATGGTCTCACCAGCCATCCATCTGCCCGACTCCAGGACAACCTTCCTGCAGAACAGTCTCAGAATCACTGTGCTCTCCCGTAAGATGGTCTTCATTCTGCTTCTCCACTAGACCGGTATTTCTCAAACTTCATTTATCCTTATAATTTCTTCCTAGGAGCATGTTACTCTTGTCATTGTTTATATTTTCCATTAAAGTTATCTACTTAAAAAGTCAATCTGGCC